TAACATTTTTATGAAGCAAATTATCTCATTATTAAGATTTTCAAAAATCTGCATTAACAAAAGCAAACTTAAAGGCTGTTTCACTTTACAGTAAAAAATTTTATCTCATGGCAAAATCTTTCTACTTATATGAAAAAGAAGTAGTAAAAATAATTAGCATAGGAATGAACACTTTAAGAAGACAGGAACATGTCACCTCAGGCAGTTGTCACCAATAGAAATGGGGATTAAGCCTCAAGCAAGAAAAAACAAGTTGTCTCAGCAAGGGGTAGCTCCCTTGAATTGCTTCAAGAATAACCATGTCAGAGCAGGTGTCAAAAAAGGGACAAACTTGAATTTATTTGCATATAAATTAAGTTTATTTCTTCCTTTAATTAAGTGGAAAGTGAAACAAAATTTTAAGAAGTAAAAGCAGACAGGAATAAGTTATGATTTTATTCCTGGTGTAGATTGTGAAATCTAAAGAACCATAGTAAAAATTTTAAAAAATAAAGAAAAAATACTTGTAACAATGTTTTCTGTGGATATACAGATAATCAAAATTTATAGATATATATGTATAAATATGCCTATAAGTCATTTACATTTATATTTTTTAAAGTAATCACACTTATAAAACATATTGTTTTTTCAAAGTAGTCCCCAATTCAAGTAGAGTAGGTAACATGCAAGGTTTGCAGGTATCATACCTAACACCACCATTGTTTCAGTGTAAGAACAACTAAAAGTCAATTATTAAGTTTTAGTTACAAGGAAATAACAAGTGACAATAGTGAACAAAGGTAACCACTTTAGCTTGTAAAAAAATAATGACTCACAATTTAATGTCAGTTGATATCCTTGCATAAAGTGTTACTTTTTAAGATACTGGTATCTTTGAAATTAATCAATATACTTTTAAAGTACTCATGTACTTATAAATGGATACTTATAAATAATTAACATTGTTCCATTATATATGTTACAATACTAAGAAAATACTAATTTAAATGTAAATACTATTTACATTTTGGGGGAAATTACAGTTTAAAAGTTAGGTGAATGTTCTCTGTTTCCTTTTCTTTTCTACTGGTGCATATTTATACAATACCTGGTTTGGATCATTTCTACTCACAGTATTTACTTCATATCTAATTTGCATGTAGGTTCCACCTGGTGGAGTTCCTGTAGGTACTAGGTGTTGGCTTTGTGCTTGTCAATTGCTGTGGTTTATTTCTTGCTATTTTTTCTTTTCCAATAAAATCTCATTATCACTTATAAACATATCCTTAACTATTTTTCAGGAACTTAATTATATTTTCATCATATTATTGGTTGCACTGAACCAATAACATGTGTACTTGATTAAGATTGTTTACTTATTCATGTTTTCTTACTCTTTAACAGGCATTAGTAATTCATCTTTTTTTCTAAATGTTATAAATTTGAGATTAAACCCTTTTAAACTAGTACTTCAACAAACTATTGCTAATTAATTTAAATTGGCAGATTAAATGAAATGTTTTTAATGTCTCCACATGCCTGGTCATTTATATGTATGTACAATACATGTATATGAACATATGCACATACATATATATTTTGTGTATTTACATATGGGTACAACATATGTAAATATGCATATCTCCTTGTTCCAATGTAATAAGATATTTTGATTCCAATTACATAACTCAGCTTGGTTTCAAATCTGGTAGACTTTCATATCTGAACATAGTTCTGTATGATAGGATGCTTTTGTTCATTTTACATACATATAACTGCTTACCTTTGTGTTTGCATTTGCATTTGCTTTTGAATTCATTTTTATTGTCTTTGTGAGTGCATGTCAGAGTTTATTTTACCCTCTCAAAATAAAATAAAAATCAAAGAGGTAATAAATAATATTTTTTGCTATATACTGAATGATGACTTCTGGGTAAAATAAATATTACTTTATGTGATAGAAGAAAAGACAATTTATTAATCAATTCTCTGATTACCTATTGATTTAGAACACTAATATCCACTTTAAAAATCCTACAGATGCAGCCACTACATAAAATCTACTGTTCTTATCAGAAAATTAAGCCAAAGTATTATTTGTCCATTTATAACCTAGTCCATGAAATTTATGGCCATGTAATTCCTACATGGTCTGAAGCATTACAAATACATGAACACTGCCTGAACTTGACCCCTTAACTAGAGAAACATAAAATTTAAATATGCTTATGAAATTCAAGCTGCATATCATAGTGCATCTTAACAAAGGGAGGATTTAATTTTCATAGTCGGTGAGACTATGAGCATGAACCAGTACATTTGGCGAAGAACAAATGTCAATCAAAATGACAGGTTTATTAGTGGTAACATGTATACCTTGAAAGTTCATTTTGATAGTCCATGAAATTTCCATAAAATTCAAGGTATACTCTTTGTAACACTCACAATATCATATTGTATCCTTACAAATACATCTGAAGTATTTAAATTTGATTGATAATTTGCTGAACATTTCTGAATTTTTCTTGAAATTTTGTGCCTATAAAAATACAAATATATTGCCCAATAGCAATAAATAGTAACAATGGTTACTATTTTAAGTAAGCATAATCAAAGAGTTCTGTTTTAATCGAATGCTAATTATGAAAAAGAAATCAGGATGAACTGATATCCAATGCATAGTGTGGTTTTAGGTATTACATTATTTCCTTCATGTAAAACAGTAATCTGCAGGTTTAAGAGATATTAGTTTAACCTCTAGTTATTATAAAAGGATCAATAAGCTGAGGTAGTTAAATTATCAAAAGGTCTTTAATATCTCTTTAAGTTGAGAAACTGTGCGTGCAGGAGTATCACTATGTGCATCATCTTTTAGTGTGAAACATTTGACACTGAAATATCTTTAGATGTTCATGAAATTGATATAATGAGATGGTACTATTTGTGACACAGCCATAATTTGCTAAAGGGACATAAGCAAGTATTGACTCACAACTTAGTACTCATTGCAGTACCACAGAGTTGCAATATCACAATCCCTGACATACAAAAATACTTAAAAGCATGTGGTGAATATGTGAATGAATATACCTAACAGAATTATAAGGAGAGACAATAGTTGAGTGCAAAAAATGAAGGAGGATTGAGATTTAACTGAAGTACAGAATAATGGAAGGATTTGAACCGAAAGAAGTAATAGTTGGTGAGCAAGTCAGATAGCAAAACTTGCTGAACTGTATCACTGGAATCTAAAGTTATAAGTAAAAGAAGGTATATTATATGACATTGTTGTGGCCTCAGATGAGAGGAAAAATATGAATATAAGAGGTTAGCAATTTGGCAAAAATAAGAAAAAACAAAAATGACAGACATTTATATTTACTTAGTTTCTTATTGATTGAAATTGCAAGTTAATTACTATTTTGATCAGCCCTAAAGTAATAATTGATTTTATCATAAATGCAATAAAATAAAACAAAAAAAGGTGAATCCTCAAGTATGCGGTTCAAAATATACCTTCATAAATAATTCAATTTTAAAGTTTACTGACATATTTTGACTCAAGATATGAGCACAGGATTGTAAAGTCTCTTGACTTTTATGTTTTAATGCATTTTATTATATAATAAATCAATGAGAGTTATTTATATACTACTAAATTTTTATCATTCTAAAATAAATACAGAACACCAACTTAAATTAAAGCCAAAGACGTAGAAACTCACAGAGAATGAAGTATTGTAAATACATAATTTGGTTTAGGTTGAAATTAAGACATTTATTTCAAAGTTATTTGAAATTCACAAAAACTATTTATTGGAGTTCTGGAAAATGTATAGATTAAAGAACATGGTGATGCAAATCACGCCCTGTTTTATGATAGTAGTGTGTATATTACAACTTTCTTGTTCTACATAGAAATTTTCAAAATGTGAGCTAATTTTTTTTTACAAATTAACATATGCATACCAATTCCTTACTCTCTGCTCTGTCTGTGTTCTTGATACTAGACTGAGAAAAGTGTATTTTCATATTAAATCACATTTCACTGATACTATGCACAATAATTTAAAAGGTATCATAATCTATAAGGATATCACCTTCCCCTGTATTATCTCCTTTTCTGTTTCACAATTTTCCTGATAGTCTGCTCAGTTAATATTCTCCTCTTATTTGCCCAATCTCATTTCTTTTCCCATTATACAAGTACCAATCCAACCCACCTTGCTTTGTCTTTGTTCTTTCTCTGAGTTGCCTCCACAAATGGTGGCTTACCATCCACCATGGCAAAAGGACTGTGAAATGTTTCCTGACCCAAATTATCTCTTAATCTTGAGCTTTCGAATTTCTTTCCTCTAAGTATATATCATTTTTCTAGGCTTTTTTAATGAGCACATGTTTTAAATTCAGGTATATTTGTAAGCAAATCATCTGAAATATTTTTAATAAAACAAATATTATGTTTTCTTTGGAGAACCTTTACAGCATTACAATGAGAAAGTAAGCATGATATTTATAGGTAATGAATAATACATATCAATTTTATTTCTGTTCTACATTATTAGTGAGAACAAGATAGTAGCATTCATATGCACAGTTTACTACTACAAATAAAGTAATTGCAAAATCTTGTAGCTTAAATTCCGGGCTCCAAGTTCTTTTTTTAGCTCTTTTTTCCCTCATTTCCTGAATCCAACAGTTGCAGAAATATGAATGTTATGTAATGAATAGGAGTATACTCAGTTGAATTATTTTCTATTCTGATTATTTTCATTTTATCACATTAATTATACTAGCACTTATCTCAGTATTCTGTATGCCATACTATAGGGATCTTTTGGATAGTTTCAATTAATTATAAGTACATATCTACTTAAATTTGTCTTTTTTCTTTAGGAATTCTTAGTAGTGCTTTATGTATACATACATGTAATACATCTCAAAAATTAATTTTCAGGTAAAAAAACTAATAACTACATTATTTATTTGACATTTTGAATAATGGATTCTTTTTAAAGACAAAAGACCCAGAGCTTCACCTTTTCCTGAATGATTATACGTCAGTGTTCACGGTGACGCAGACTGGTATCACACGCTACCTCACCCTACTTCAACCAGTGGACAGGGAAGAACAGCAAACTTACACCTTTTCGGTAAAATTACTTCCTTATGTATATGTGTGTTTGTGTAACTGAAACAAGTGTCTGTTTAAAACTCACAAGGTCAATGACTGATTTAGGGAGGAAAACCTGTATTTTAGTTAACGCCACAGGAAAAATAGCAATAATAAAAATTCTAAATGTGCATTAATCCTTTTTCTGTTTATAAGTTTGTGTAGGTATATTAGTAGTTTTACCTAGAAAAGAAAAATACTTTCTCAGTCTTCATCATACACTGATAACTGATATCAACTAAATCCACCAAATAACTATTTTTCTAATCTTTTGCTGTTTTTGTGTTTTCAATTTTGTCATAGTTTTAAGCCAGAGTTTCTCTAGTAGAGATAATTTTCCCCTCTGGAGAACATTTGGCAAGTTGTAGCGATATTTTTTATTTTTTGGTTTTGAGGGAGTATTACTGGCATGTGATGGGCAGAAATGAAGGATACTTCTAAGAATCTTACATAAAACAGCCCCCATGACAAAGAATTATCTAGCCCAAAACATCAATGATATTCAGGTGGAGAAATCTTGGGTTAGGCTAATCAGGGTGAAGTAAGTAAAGGTTATTAAAGTTGTGATCATATATTTACATGAGATAAGAAATATGTATGTCTATATGTATAAGTGCATACATGTATGAATGTACATATATGTATATATATACACATACATTTATAGCACTGGTATGATAGGGTTGAAGAGTAAAATCAAAGAAAAAGAGTGTTCTGGTTATATCTAACTTATTTAATAAAGTATGAGAAAAGTGATAGAAGTGAAATAATAGAACTGATAGAAAAATATAAGTTATAGTGGTTTTCATAAGTCACTCAAACAAAGATGAGTGTCTCATGGTTGATGCACTTCTGAATTTTTAATAACATCACCTAAGATGTCACTATTAGAGAATGACAATGTCATTGAAAATTGCCATTTTGTGAATTACTAGAATATTACATGTCTAAGGTACCTACTTTCTTGACTGATAGACACAAGTTGATTATAAAAGTAAATATTGTGTGTTATAAAAACTGTGTAAAAGTAAGAGTATTTTCTAATTAATTTTTAAAGATTAAATAATGAGCTCTTAAGAATTAGAAATGATATTATTAGTTCCTTTTAAGTTTCTAATACATTTTACCTATTTCATTATTGAAAATGTGTTTGGAATTAAATGTATTAAGATAGAAGGAAACCCTCAATAATTGCTTCTTAACACATTAAAACACATTTGACTGTATGTACTATTATACTTTGGGAATATATATGTAACATTATATTTTTATTACTTCCTTTTATCAACAAAATATCCTAAAATTCTTTTAAATTTTTAAATCACATTTTAAAATGTTATTAAGCTGTAAGATTAGGTTGTGTATTGCTTATATTTACATAAATTCTCTATTAAGTTTATTTTCTTTCCCCAAAGATAACAGCATTTGATGGTGTTCAAGAAAGTGAGCCCGTTATAGTCAATATTCGAGTGATGGATGCAAATGATAACACTCCAACCTTCCCTGAAATATCTTATGATGTCTATGTTTATACAGACATGAGCCCTGGGAACAGTGTCATCCAGGTAAATATCCATATAATATGAGGATTGACTCATAACAGGCATTACCATGAGCATCCAAATGCATTCATTGTAAGGACAGGGTGAAGGAGGCTGATTATAGTGGAAATATCATTTACTTATGCATGAGAAGGAAAAAATGAGACATGTTGAAACTATTCCATGAAAGGGAGATGGGAAATAAAGGAGAATGAAGGAGAGAGTGAGTCCAACTATGATATTTTATAAGAACTTTTGTAAATGTCACAATATTCCCCCAGTAAAACAATAATATATTAAGAGAAGAAATTCCTTAAGAAATAAAAATGAGTTTCACACTTTTTGCATGATTAATTTAACTTAAAAACTTTAAATTGATGTTCACTTTTCAAATAAAAATATATATGTGTATATCCATGTTTGTGGATTCTAAATTATAATTAAATAGTTATTATATATAAACAACTGTTTCATCTGTTTATTCTTGATTTTAAAATTTAATATAGTGAATATGTTTAATAAATATAGTGAGCATAAAGTTTAAATGCTCAAATTACTTGCACTAATATAGAAATAAATTAACTTTCCCTTTTTGGTAAATATAAAAGACTGTATTAGTAAATGGGTAGATAATCCCATTAGAGATTGGTTACCTGGATAAAATGAAATCATTATAGAAAAGATAATTTAGATTCAATAATAAATGGTATCTTTGAAAACAACTAAATCTGACAAAATCTTTATCCTTTGTTTTGTTAATAACTTAACTATACTTAACACTTATAAAAATTATAAGTCATCTCCAAATCTTTTTGTATTCTTATTTTTCTGAGTGTTAATAATAAAGACATAATCAAATTGTTCCATCAGAGCTTTCAGGAATTTGAAGTATAGTTGACTCTGGTTTTTTCTAAACTGGCTATGCACAAAATGTTCCAGTAAATTGTTTGGAAATACAGATTATGAAGATTCACGTTAACTTTTCTGGGTATGAATCTCAATGAGCAATACTTAGATAATTAATGCTGAAAAATAAGCTCCACTTGGCTCAGATGTCCAACTACCTGAGAACAGACTAAAAATTTTAAGTTACTTTTAGGCAGGAAAGCCATAATCCCATATACGCACTAGAGCATTTAACAGCAAATTATTACAAATTATATATGCTGATGAATAAAAAGTAAAATAAATAATATTAAATGATAATATGCATTTTATCATCAGATTAATAAATCAAGATATTTTAAAAAGTAGCCCAATGCCTCAACAATGTGGTCCTTCTTTCTCTTTACTTCACCTTTGTCATCAGTCTTCTTTCCATACATTTATACTTCAGTCCTGCTAAGCTGCCTCCAGCAGCATTTTCTTTTATTTCTTCAAATTATTTCCCCTCCTTGATCTTTTTCTCTTCTGTTTATAGTTTGACTACTTTACTATTTTCTTCTCATCTTTTTAGTCATTTCCTCTATCAACCCCTCTTTTTCCTCTCTATCTCTCACCCTAAACTGAAAACTCCAAGAGATCAGCAGCCCTTCCTTTTTTATTACTGTGAGGCCAGCACATATCAGATGAATGAAATATTTGCAAATATTTATACAAAGGATGAATTATTATTACCCACTTTCCACTATTTAATATACATTGGAAATGAGTCAACACTATTCCTGTTAAACTTGTTTTCTTGAATTACATAGAAAGTGGTTACATGGCAGCTGCATACCAGGAATTTGACTGAATATTCATCCTATGTATGCAGAATCTCTTTGTTGTCTATGTAATAACGGTGGGAATGATTTCAAATTACTACTGTAAATTTTATTCACATATAGGTATGGCATCCTTGTCACAATGAGGAAATTAAATATCTTATTCATTTACTTTGAGGGCAGGATTCTAATTAAATTATTTCTGTATTCATAGTACCTGTACCTATACTTCCTTACACATAGTAGATGATTAACATTGTATATGACTAAAAGATATTTATTTGAGGATAAAATAGAATAAGACTGACTCACAACTAGAAATAAGTGAATAAAGATATGAATAAACAGTAAGTGTTAAATGGACTGGTCTTTGTTTCTTGTCATCTGATGGGTCAAGATGGTTACATTTTTCTTTACCAAGGCACCCTTTCATAGGTAGCAAAATTATAATTTGTACAGATAAAAAAATGATAATTATTTTCATGCTTTTATTTAATTAGACCTGATTTTCATCTCTGTAATGATATAATTGGAGATAAAAGTAAGTTTATACATTCCCACAGGGAGTGGGCATGAGCAACTAATAAAGCAATAAGTAATTATGTGGTGGAACTATATCTCAAAAATCTTTGCCTTAGGGATCAAAAGCTTATTTCTGACATTTGGAGACTACAAAAGTTAATTTCCTGTATGTATCTATTTCTAAAACAGATCTCACTTAACATTTAAAGATTTATTTTTTATTTATTTCCCTGAACTCTGCAGATTATGAAGACAGGATGCTGTGTCCACATTCCTGTAATTTTTAAAAAATCATTTAAAACCCAAATGAAGCTTCATAATTATTATTTGTAATGTTATTCCTGATATGTCATAAAACAAGGCCATGGCTGTAAATCATCCTGCAAGAATATAGAATCAAAATGAAATGGATTTCCCATTGAGATAAGATATTTAAAAAGAACCCAAATGCTTCAAAATTGTTATCCAAAAATGCCCTTAGTTATGAATTTGATTCCTATGCTTCACTGCACTCATTAACCTCATTAACTCCATCAACCCTTCAAAAGATCAACCAGTTGGTCACCAGCCTGATGTCACAAGGAGTTAAAGTGTTAGTAACAAAGGTAACAATGAACATTCTCCAGAAAAGAGGGCCGTAGATAACAAGTATTTTTTTTCTTTTATTCATATATGCATACAATGTTTGGGTCATTTCTCCCCACCGCCCCGCTCTCTCCCTCTCCTCCCGTACCCCCTCACATTCAGGTAGAAACTATTTTGCCCTTATCTCTAATTTTGTTGGAGAGAGAGTATAAGCAATAATAGGAAGGATCAAGGGTTTTTGCTAGTTGAGATAAGGATAGCTATACACGGAGTTGACTAGCATTTGATTTCCTGTGCATGTGTGTTACCTTCTAAGTTAATTCTTCTCGAACTAACCTTTTCTCTAGCTTCCCTTCTCCTATTGGCCTCTGTCGCTTTAAAGTATCTGCTTTAGTTTCTCTGCATTGAGGGCAACAAATGCTATCTAGTTTTTTGGGTGTCTTACCTATCCTCACACCTCCCTTGTGTGCTCTTGCTTTATCATGTGATCAAAGTACAATCCCCTTGTTGTGTTTCCCTTGATCTAATGTCTGCATATGAGAGAGAACATATGATTTTGGTCTTTTGAGCCAGGCTAACCTCACTCAGAATTATGTTCTCCAGTTTGATGCTCCACTACTGACGAATGGATTAAGAAAATGTGGTATTTATACACAATGGAATTTTATGCAGCCATGAAGAAGAAGAAGAATGAAATGTTATCATTCGCAAGTAAATGGATGGAACTGGATAACAAGTTTTAATTATTGTACTGTCGTTCACAATGAACCTATTAGTCTACTCGACTTAACGAGAACACACACTCAAGTCTCTGTATATACCCTCCTATCTCATAAGATAACAATCCGTCCCCCAAGAAGCAGATGGGTTGGTAATAAAGATGTCCTGAGAGCCTTGTTGAAACATTCAGCTATAAATTGTGTCTAAATTTATGGGTATCTCTTATACTTTGCTATTGTGAAAAGGACCAGAGTCTATTGGGTGTATACGAGTTATAGTCCAAACTGCAGGAGTGCTGCCTTAAAACAGCATCTTTCCCTTCCATAACTGTACTTACTGTAATTGGATTAGCACTAGTCTAAACATTATTCAAAGATTGAATTCTTTATGCTTTAAGCCAATATCCCACTCTAGTTCTTACTTCACTGTCAAAATTATCTAAATTTATCAACCAATCCATATTCTTATATATCTATAGCTATCTCCTATCTTTGTATCTATCCATAAAATCTGAAATTTTCTCAGATTACATCATTAAGATCACATATAATAATATATCTCATTAATCTGTCTAAATGTCAAACTCAAAAGCACTTTTTTGTCCTTAATCTATGTGGAACTCTCAACTGAATACACACTTTTCTTCAAATCCTCCCTGGTTCTTATCCTATCTCTCTGTGGATTGAGGGATATTGTTGATAGTGTTTAATTCTTATCCCTTAAATGTTGTCTATTTAAAATCTGCATATATTTCTCCTCTGCTTAATCTGTTCTCAAATTCCCCATTTTTGCCTCCTTGCACACTTAAAGCTCTCAATGTGGAATGCCCTGCTGTCACTTTTGTGCTGAGTATTGAGCTGATATTGCAAGTATCTGCTGGACATGACAGTGTATATTTTTGACAAGCATATTTCCAGGATAAATTAACTAATTCATTATCTTTCTTACAATGTTGAAGCATAGTTTCAAACTTTTACATCCTGTCCTGTTTGGATATCACAGGATTGTGAAATAATCTATTACTCTTCAGGAGTTGGAGTTGTGTTTATGTTTCACCAACATGCATCCATATTTATACTTCAATTTACTATTTTCTCTAAGACGGTACAATTTTATTAGTGGAGTACTCATGTCTTAAATTAGATATCTAGATGTGTTCTTTCTACATCTCTACCACTATGTATTCCCTGATCTACAACTCTTCATTTTCTTTTCACTCTACTTTATACAATTTCTATTTTAAAATGTATCTGTCACCTATCATTTCCTTTTATTTTTTATTATTCATTTATTCACATGTGCATACATTGTTTGGGTCATTTCTCCCCATTGCCTCCTCTCCCAGCCTCTCCCCTCCTCCCCCCTCATTTCCTTTTATTTTTACTAAGGATTTTATTTTAGAACAATTTTAGGATCATAGCATAATTGAATGGAAGGAATAGTGTTTTCTCAAACACTCCATGCATAGACTTTTCCATCATCAGCATCATC